CCACAGAAAGAAGCCCCTTGGGTCAAACGCCTGGTTTGCACTACACTAATTGGGGAAATTTGATAGCCATTTGATGGCCACGCATTTGATAGCCCATCTCTGTGGCTGTGGATTTTGCTGTGAAAACAGCACAGATCCTGTAAAGCCAAGGGGCTGGAGAAAAGGGAGAACAAACAAGGTCCCCAGTAGCTGCTTGGTTTCTAAAGAACAGATTTTTCCATCCTCAGAAAAGAAAACTGTTCAGAATAGTGCTCTCACAGGGTTTTCCTAGGGGCACTTCAGCTGTACAAATGAGGAATTAGCTGCCCTCCCAGCTGGCTGTGTTCAAACACTGCACTGGCTCACATTTACACCTGGTTCATAGAAATGATGCCGTGCACCTGCACACAAGATTGCTGTCACTCACAAAGTGCATCCCTATGGAGGTGGCCGCCGCAGTTTCGATTTCTGTGCCAATGTCCTCAATAAAGGGATACTCGTCTTGGTCATGGACAATGATCTTGGCTCCTGTTGATGTCACCAGGAAAGGGTTGTAGTCTGCTTCGTCGATGTACAGAACAACCTGCAATCCTGAAGAACAGAGACGGGGTAGGAGCAGTGTTAAACCAGAAGCCAGAGCCAATTTTTTCTCATCAGGGAGGGCACCAGAATTTACTCAAGGCTACCTGGCCTTAAGTGGAATTATAACAGTCAGGCGATGCCTCTGCCATGCTAGACTGAGACACTTTGAGCAAGTGGTGTCCCTCTGCAGCCCCAAGTACAACAAACAAACGATGACTCCTTAGAAGGCAGCTGAAACTTACTTTAAGAAGTTATATAACTGGGAAGCAGTAATTTCAGATGGAAAACATTAGTGATGCAATGATATTATCTTTGTATTCTCTGGCAACAGTTTGCACTAGTTCAAACAGGCACTTCCTCAATCAGACTGCACATCTAGAGCCAACACATCAATCACTCTCCAGCAGGATCCAGTTCACTGAACCGCTCGTTATCTAATAGTTCCTCCACAAGCAAAGTTTCCTTACCGTACTCGCTGCCTCCGGTGGAGGTGCTCAGGATCGTCCCATTTTCTCCACTGTTGAAAGTATAGCAGTTGCCGTGCAGGGGATGATGGAAACGGGTGAAATGCCTGAAAGAAACCAAATATTGTTGCATTGCCCTCTGCAGTTTTAACTGCCTCTGGCAGAAACTCAGCAGGTTTGGACTTTTTTTTTTTTTTTTTGGCCAGTAACATAGCAGGACTGGATTTGGATTTTTCTTTTTTTTTTTTTTTGTGCAAGCACTTTATTTTCCCGATTTTTTTTCTTTTTTTTTTTTTCTTTTTCTTTTATTCCCTTAATATCTTGAAACTACATGGAAATATGATGTTTTAACAGCACCAGGAAATGAGATTTCAGAGGTTTTAGTGCGGGAGTCGGGGCTGAGAGAGTGGGGGGGCAGATTTCTGAACTAGCAGGAAGGTGGCAGTGGAGTGGGCAGAGTCCTTTCTCATTCAACAGTCAAGTGTCCAAAGGAACATGAATCTTCATTTTTCAGAAAAGATGTCACAGCCACGGCCATGTAGGAGAGGCTGAGCAAACACCCTTGCAGTTCAAGCACGTTCATGTCTTTTCCTGAGAACCTCCCCTCCCAGTCAAGCAAATCTCTCCTAATTCCAATAAAATATTTTATGATTACAGACACAAACAAAATGCTTCCAGAAAAACTTCAGCTCTACCTGCTAAGGTGAGAGTTACGATGCAGCTCACTTTGTACGTGGCAGTGGGAAAATTGCTAAAGCCATGTACAAGTGCAACTTCATCCCAAGGGCTGCACCTGGGAGCTCTGCTGTTATCCCGGCATTAAGGGATGACTCTCCCACTACCAAGACACACAGGAATTGCACTGCAGCAATCATAAGCAGGTAGACCCAATTCTGACAAAAAACATGAGTTTATCTGAAATGTGGAGAGCAGAACACTGAGACAAATGAAATTAAAGACCATAATTGAAGTTCATTAAGACATGAATGTTTGCTTTCATTTAAAAATAGAGCTGGTTCTTGCTGGAATTCAGCAAACTCCAAATATTAAATTCCTACGTATGACATACTTGGAAATAAACCGGTAAGCTGGCAGGTATTTTCTGTGCACTGACCTTTTGTCACAAGATAGGCCATCAAAGAAACATGTCAATAGAAGGTCGTCAGCAGAATAACTCAATTCTTCTTTAGTCTCCAAGGGAATTTGAGCCATGATGTTCATGTAATGCAGTTTGTACCACTCTTGGATAGCATTAACACCAGAACTGAATGTATAAAGCGCACACTCACTGCTGTTGTTTGCATCGCACTGATAATTACAAAGGAGAAAAAGCATTTCAGATGGAAAGAAACGATGTGTCCTATAAAGTCTGTGTGTATCATTTCTTTCCCACTGTAATAATCACATTTGAAGTTCTAGTGGCAGCAAGAGGACAAAGGGGCACCAAAAACCTTTCATTCAGGGCTAAACGATACAGTCAAATGCTTCAGGCCAAAAAGAAAGGTCACGGATGGCACTAAGTCTGTTTTGGCCAGACTTCAGGAAGGCGTTTCTCCTCCAGAGAGCGGGAGATGGATCTGCAGGCAGCAGCGGAGGCAGACCGGGCAGAGGGGTGGGCAGAGCTTTATTCACTATCGTGCCACTAAGTGAGCAATAAAACCAGCAGTGGGATACCCCCCCCAAACACCCCCTCAATGCCCCCAGCAGGAGGTTGCTGCCCGAGGAAGGGTGCCACTCACCAGCTGGAAGCCGATGATATCGTTTGAATCCCCGGAGTTCACGATGGAGGAGTCCTTGTGAAAGACGCTGCCCTCAATTTTCCTCTTCCTCCCGCTGCGGAGGTCAGTGGCCGTCCTGGAGAAGTCCTCGAACTTCAGCAGAGGGATCTGATTGAAGAAGTGGCTCTCCGTCTCGTTCCAGTCACCCGCCGAACGGCGCACCTTGGACTTGCCCTCTGAGAACCCATAGAAAGTCTCCAGTGCTTTTTTTGTCTCTTTGTCCAGTTCTGACAAGTAGTCTTTCATCGAACTGTACCTGCGTTAGAGAAAACGGGAGAACATCGTGTCGTTCACTGCACTCCCCACCTGACTGCAGCACGCTGCCCGCTGCGCTGTGTGTCTCAGTGCTCAGTGGGTTCGTTGTCACAGACCCGCGGCCATCGCTTCTGACCCCATTTGTTTAAATCGGCGTGGGGAGAGGCCAAGAGGGCTCAGGAAAGGGACCAGGGAAGGGAGCATCATAAGCAGAGCAGACTGAGCAGATTCCCAAGCTCCTGGGAGGTTTTGCCAGCACGCCCGAGGAGGCAGCGCGTGTGGAAATGTGACTTCTGCAGCTGTGCCAGGAGGCAGCCTGAGAGCTGGACAGCAGGGAGGGACTGGGGCGGATAGCTGGCAGCAGAATAGACCTCAGCATAAAGCGTAATTTGGCAGGAAAAAGATATTGATAGCAAAAGTCAAGACATCCCCTAGGAAAATAAAGGTAACGGAGGAGTGACAGCTGCTCCCTCTCCCCTCTTCGGGAGATGTCACTGTTTGTAATCCTGGAACGGACGTCTTAGGGAGAAGGAAATTTGAAGAGTGCCACAGACCCGCCAGGGGCCGTCTCCAGCAGAAAGCTAAACCAAGAGCTGTGGCTCGGCAGACAGTAAGTGGGGAGAGATTGTGATCCACAGGTGTCTGAGAGCAAGAGCATGGAGCTGATGGAAGGGAAGGGAAGGGAAGGGAAGGGAAGGGAAGGGAAGGGAAGGGAAGGGAAGGGAAGGGAAGGGAAGGGAAGGGAAGGGAAGGGAAGGGAAGGGAAGGTGCTGAGAAGCAGCGGGGCCGTTCTGCCCGAAGTGCCCGCAGCCGGCGGCCAGCACAGCCTTACTTGTAGGGGTTGATGTTGCAGATGGTGACGGCAGGGAAGGGCAGCTTCTGGAACTGGACCGTGACGGACACCGAGGCGCTGTAGTAGTTCAAGAGCAGCTCCGCGCACTGCCAGAGGATGAGCCCCACGGCGCTCAGCGTGAGCAGGATCCAGATGAACCTGCGCAGCCGGCCCCGGGACACGACGATGCGGCGGCAGCCGTGCGTGTTGGTGTTGAGGCAGTACCAGCGCATCAGCTCGCTCAGCGTGGGCGCCTGCGGGCCCCGCACCGGCAGCGTCCTCTTGATCCTGGCCGTGATCTTCTTCCCGGGGGCCATGGCGCTGCCTGCGGGGGCACCGCGGGGCTGAGTCCGGGGCCGTCGTGCCCGGGACGTGCCCCGGAGCCCCGGAGCCCCGCTGCCGCCCGCAGGGGCTGGGAGGGGGCCGGGGCCCGCTCCTCGCCCCCGCCCGCGCCGCTTGTGCCGGTTCGTGCCCTCGGACGGGACGGGACGGGACGGGACGGGTCGGGGCAGCCCCGTTCCCCCCGCCCGGCTGTGCTGTCCCGGGGCTCCGCACCGCCCGCGGCAGAGCCGAGGGGGCGGCCGGACCCGGACCCAGCCCGAGCCCCCCCACACCCCCCGCGCCCCCCTCACCTCGGCCGCCGTCCGGGCCCGTCGGGGCCATGCTGCCGCTGCTGTCCCGGCCCCGGCGCCGCCGCTGATGGCTCTGCGGCCGCCCGGCCCGGCACCTACCCCCCGCCCGCCCCCGCGGGGCCCGCCCCGGCCCGGCCCTGCCCTGCCCTGCCCTGCCCGCCCCGCCGCGCCCTGTGCGGGCACACAGCGCCGCCAGCCGACAGGGCCGGGGCGGGGCGGGCAGGGACCGGCACCGTGCGGCCGTCGGGGGGCTGCGGCCCGGGGGCGGCGGGGGGCGGCTTGCGCGACCACCAGGATGAGGCCGGCCCCGGCCACCCGCCCCGTGTCCCCGTGGGGGGTCCCCGTGGTGTCCCCGCTCCCCCCGCCGGTAGTGGCGGTGTGACGGGGGGGGCTGGGGGCGGTTGGGGGGGGGCCGCCCGTCGGGGGGCGGCCGTGCCCTCAGCCAAGATGGCGGCGGGGCCGGCTTCTGCCCGGCGCGGCCATGGCGGCGCGGTCACGTGGGGCGCGGCCCGCCCCGCCCGCGGCATGGCGGCGCCGTGAGGCGGCTGCGGCCCGGGGCTGAGCGCGGCGGGGGGATGCGCGCTGCGCCGCGCCGCCATGCAGCGGGTGGGCGGCCCCGGGCCGGCGGGCAGCGCCAAGGAGAAGCGCTCCTTCAGCAAGCGGCTGTTCCGCGGCCGGGCGGCGGCGGGCGGCGGCGGCGCGGCCCCGGCCGCGGCCCCTGCCCCGGCCCCGTCCCCGGCCGCGGCGCCCGCCTCCGCCGCCCCGGCCGCGGCCCCGGGGCGCTCGCTGGGCGGCTTCATGAGCCGGGTGCTGAAGACCCTCTCCACGCTGTCGCACTACGGCGGCGAGCCCGAGCCCCGCGGCCCGCAGGCCCCGCGCCCGGCCCCGCCGCGGGCGGCCGGCGGCCTGGGCAGCTGCCTCCCGCCGGGGCCCCCCCGCAGCCCCGAGCCGCCCCCGCCGCCCGCCGCCGGCCCCGAGGCGGTGCCCGGCGTGGCGGGGCTGCGCAACCACGGCAACACCTGCTTCATGAACGCCGTGCTGCAGTGCCTCAGCAACACCGAGCTGTTCGCAGAGTTCCTGGCGCTCGAGCAGTTCCGCGGCCCCGCCGAGCCCGGCGAGGTGACGGAGCAGCTGGCGCAGCTGGTGCGGGCGCTCTGGACGCTGGAGTACACCCCGCAGCACAGCCGCGACTTCAAGGTGAGCCCCGCGCCTCCCGCGTGCTCCTGGCCCCGTGAGCTGCCCCCGGGGCCTTGCCGGGCGGCACCGCGTGGCTGCGGGGTGTGAAGGCGGCGCCTCTCGGTGCCCTGCCCGCACCGTGCCCCTTGCTGCCGGGCAGCCCGGCCGGGTCCCGCTCCATCGCCACGTTCGGGGCCTCGTGGGCCTTTCCTGCGGTCAGCAGGTCGCTGTCCCCCCGTGTCGGTGCCGTGGGACGTTTCCCCTGTGCTGCTCGGGGTGCTGGAGCCCACCTGGGCATGGGGTGTGTGCGGGCACCTTGAGGAGCAGGAGACAGTCCGGACCCATGTGCGGGTGCCAGGTAAGTGGCAGCACCGTGTGTCCCCACAGCTGCTCGGGGCGGCCGCTGCTCAGCTCCTCGTCCCCAGCGGGAGCACCGGGCAGATGCCAGCGCACTCACTGCTGACAGCACTGGAAGCCAGCTGACAGCTCTGCTGCTAATTGCCTGGCGGAGGTGCCCGTTTTGCTGTTTCATACCTCCCTTGTGCCACGCTAGAAGTTGCAGTGAACTTGTGGCAGGGCCGGGAGCACCGGCAGTGCGGAGCAGGGCGGCCGCTGCAGGAGCTGGTGCTGCCGGCGGGGCCGAGGCCCTGACCCCAGCACTCCCCCCTCTTGCCCTGCACACCAGGACCACGCGGTGCCCGGCATGGGCAGAGCGGGGTCCCCTCCTCCCGGCCTGCAGCAGGGTCCGTGTGCCTGTGGTTGAACCGCACCCTGGAGCGCCTTTGGGAGAAACGAGACCCAACTGCTGTGAAAACGCTCCGGGCCTGCCGTGCTTCTGGAAGCTGCTCAGGGTTGTTGAGCTTTGCCATGAGGGCTGCCTGGTATGGCCGTTGGCTGCAGGGAAGAGCAGGCACAGGGGCAAGGGCCACGTGCAGACCCTGGCAGCCGGCACCGCTCGCTCACGGGGCAGCTGGAGAGCGGCTGCCAGCCCCCAGGCTGCCGGGGGCCTGCCCTGCTGTGATCTCCCTGCCCCGGAGCCTTCCTGACAGCAGCAGAAATCGTGGGCTCCTCCTGAGTAATAAGAATCAAAAAGCTTGAAGGCGAAGCTATCTTTTGGCAGCACAGCTGATAAAGGGGAAAGCAGAGCAGCTCTTAGGCCAAGGAGTGCTCTTTGTGCAAGCCCAAGGTAGAGGTGCTCAGATAAGAGAGGCAGAAAGAGGAAGGGAAACAGATACGTGGATTAAATTAAGGCCATGTTCCAGGCTTTGTTTTTTTCCTAGTGGAACTTTCTGTGTCTGTTGGCCACCATCACTAACGGTAAGTGAGTGCTGCTCTGCTCCTTGGTGCTGTAGCTGGAGCACATCAATCTGCTACCTGCCAGGCCCTGGGAGGCTTTAAAAAGCCTCTTGCTGGGGGGGATCTTGTGCAAGCAGGTCCTGCTCAGAGCCATGCGGTATCAACAGGCCTGGGTCCTACTCCAGGGGACTTTGTTGTCGTGTCAAGTGCTCGGCTGTTTCTGCACAGGGGTCAATTTCTTTCACTAGTACATTAATGCCTCTGAAGACAGTCAGGTAGCCTGAACCTGCTATTAAATGCCGTGTTCTTAATTAAAAATTTCTTCAGCAGCAGACTTGCACGGTTAATTTAAATGTATAAACAAGAGGCTTGTATTTGAGACGGGTGAAGATTGGTGTTTTCACTCTGGAAACTCTTGTTTGTTTGTTTGTTTGTTTTTAAAGGGCGAAAAGTGTTTTCAGGACAGTTGTTTCGTGCTTTCACTCCAATAGTAGCAGTTACTGACAGTAACATTTATTTGGTACTTGAGCAGCTCTTTATCCAATGTGCTAAGAAGTGTTTCTGTTTGTGGGGTTTCTTTTTTTTTTCTTTTCTGTTTTCCTCTTTTGGTGCCATGTATAATCGGGTAAAGGCAGTCCTTGATTCCTAAATCCTTACCTGCAGGTGCTAAGCATATTTTGGGGTGCAGGATAACACTTATCTAGCTCATTCTTACATCTGTAGGCATTTTTCTTGGGACACTTTTCCAAGAGAAGGCCTCTCAGTGTCCTTGTGGACAGGGCCCTTGGAGGGGGTGAGTCTCTTGATGCTCTCTACCCTTAGCTGTTTTTTTCTTGGTAGTATTCAAAGCATTTCTCCTTGTTTAGGTTGGTCTTTGAGAAAATATCCATCCTACGGACTCATGAATCACAAAGTCCTGCTGCTAGAAACGAGCACAGTGCGATTGAAACAAGTGGTTGTGTAGCTGCGGGGCCAAGGGGTCGCTCTGCGGGTGATCTGCAGGGCTGTGCCCTACGGGGCAGGGAGGGAGCCCCTGGAAGCGACCTCCCCGTGCTCCTGCTGTGGGGCATCGGGGCTGCCCCGGGGGCTCTCCTCGTCCCCAGCAGGTCCTGGGAGGGGGCAGAGGGTCTGAGGGCTGCGGGGTGGAGGCAGGACAGGGAAGGAGCCGGTGGGTGCGGGTGCTGGCAGTGCAGGGGCACCACGCACCTCCCCTTGGGTGGCACAGCAGAGCCGGGCACTGCTTTGGCTCCCCGATTGCCCCCTGCTCTCGTGCAGTTTGTTAGCAATCCTTCCCCTGACAGCTCCGTCCTTTTTATTTTCCTGCCTAAGCAGAGCTGCTGCTTTCATAACTAGTGCCAATATTGCAGCTCGTGCTTCCTCTCTCCCCTTTGTGATGGGGTGACAATAGCAGCAAACATCCATTGTGTCAGCAGGAGCTGTGCTTCGGGCTTGTTTTTTTGCAGGAGCTGTCCCTGTGTCCCCACAAAGTTGCTGGGAGCTCAGCTGTGCGGACAGAGCGCCCTTTGTGCTGGGAGCCAGCCTGCAGCGCTCGGAGGTGCTGGTGGGGTCTTCACTGGGGAGGAGTTTCATTTAAACTACTTGGGTTTTAAAAATCCTGTACACTTACCCAAATCCTCTCCCTTTGTCCTTCTCGGAGTTCCGATCTGTGGACAGTGAAGTTATTTTTTGTTTGGAGGCTTTCTTCTTAGCTTGGTGTTGTGGTCTCACCCGGCTGGCAGCTGAACACCACAGGGCCATGCAGTCACCCTCCTGCCTCCCTCTATGGGATGGGGGAGAGAAACGGGAAAGTGAAGCCCGTGAGTTGAGATAAAGACAGGAAAATAATAAGAACAATAATAATAATGACAATAATGATGCTAATAGTACTACTACTAATGATGTGTACACACAAGTGATGCACAATGCAATTGCTCAGCACCCGCTGACCGATGCCCAGCCTAACCCTGAGCAGCCGCCCCCCATCCCAGCCAGTCACCCTATATACAGCTCAGCATGGCCCCATAAGGTATGGAACACCCATAAGGTATGGAACACCCCTTTGGGCAGTTGGGGTCAGCTGTCCCGGGTCTGTCCCCTCCCAGCCCGTGCTGCACCCGCAGCCTGCCCGCTGGCAGGACAGCGAGGAGCTGAGACGTCCTTGGCTTGGTGTGAGCACTGCTCTGCACCAAGTGAAACCTCGGGGGGTTATCAGTGCTCTGCTCATCCTGAGCCAGAACACAGCACCCTGCCAGCTGCTGGGAGGAAAATTAACTCTGTCCTAGCTGAAAGCAGGGCGCTAGGCTGGCTGCACACCGGAGTGTCTCGGTGTATTCCCCAGCCGCGTGCAGCTGAGTTTCGCAGTGCTCGTGTTTCAGAAGAGCTCTTGGTGTAAAGGCTGAAGTTGGGACAAGCAGCCATCAGCTGCGGTGATCGCTTCTTTGTGAATTAATTAAACAAACAACACCCAACAAACTCCTGAATTGTGAAGCACCGGGGTGCCCGGTGTGCCTGGCTGGGAGCTGCAGGGGGGCTGCAGGTGGGTGCAGAGCTGGCTCGCTGGGCTTGCTGTGTTCTCCACGCTTTGGCCTCATCCAGCTGAGGTATTTGAAGGAGGCAGTGGCCTTCCCGAATGTGCTGCTCTTCTCTGTATCAGGAAAAGCCAGACGGGTCTGACACCCAGCTCTGAGAGCTCGCTGTCGGAGCGTTTCCTGAGGCTTGACCTGCGTGCACTTGGCCGTCCTGGCAAATCGTCTCCTCTCGGTTGTTTGCCTCGTCCCGTCGGGCTCAGCACAGCTTTTAGTACAGCTCACAGGGAACTGAGCACAAAGGCCCGGTGCTGTGCCAGTTAGCAGGGCGCTAACTGCACGTGCTGCGGTGCTCTTGCCTTTTGTTTTCCATTGTGTTTTTATTGCTCTTCCTCCTGGTGTTTCCTCCCCTTTCCTCTCTCCTGGCTGTGCCCTGTTCTGCAGGCATCGCCCATCGGTTCCTCCACCCACGGCCCCCTTGCTCCTGCTCCGTGCCCATTGCCGTGTCCCCGGGTTTCTCCCCCTGTGCTGCGGGGTGCTGCTGGCTGCGGGGTGCTGCTGGCTCAGCCCCGTCCCTGGGGCTGGGATGGACGCGAGCCCTGGGCTGTGCTGTCTGCTGGGTTTGCTGCCCCCAGAGCGGGTGTCTCATCTCGCCTTGGAGAGGGGAAGTCACCGTGTGAGAACTCAGGGACTCAGGTGAACACTTCATGAGGTGTCTGCTGTAGAAGCTGCCCAAGCACAAAGCTGTGGGATTAAACAGAAAAACACCACCAAATCTCTGCCCGAGCCTGACTTTACGATGTTCAATGGAAGGTAAATAACAGGCTCTCTTTCCTGCTCACGTGTGTTATTGTTTCAGGGCTGTAACGAGCTGGTTCCATCCGTTCATGCACAAAAACCTTTCCACAGCTGCTTCCTACCAGGAGCACGCTGGCAAGCAGCAGGCTGACATCTTTCCTGTGGTTGTCTGTGTTAGCTGGGAGAACAACAGCAGCAAAGGGGAGGCCAGGAGTTCAGCTATGTTTGGCTTTATTTATTGCATCTATTTAGAGCAATAGATGATTAAACTTTCAGTGGGCTGATAAAAATGATAATGCATCTTTGCCATAAATCTGCTGTATGGATGGACAGGGACTGGGTTGGTTGTAGGGTGCTTGCATTAGGGGTCAGGTACGTGCGTGCGTTCAATAGGAAATTATGATTTTTTCCCCCACTTATCTCTTCCAGCAGTGTGTCCATTCAGGATGTCTGTGCTGGTGTGCCTGTGGGGAGGGGAGGGGAGGGAAGGGAAGGGAAGGGAAGGGAAGGGAAGGGAAAGGAAGGCCTCGTCCCCTCCCCTGCCCTGGGGCTGTGCTGAGGTGTGCCCGGTGGGCAGGGAGCCCCGGCACCGTGTGCTCCTGGTGTCCTGCAGCCCCCGGGGTGTGGGGCAGAGCGGGCTGCACGCAGCCCCCGGCTCGCTGGGGACTGGCTGGTGGCTTGCTCAAACTGTTCAGTTTGGGTGGGCTCCTTCCTCCCAGCCCCCATGCGTTCTGTGGCACCGCTGTTCTCCGCTCTGCTGTGTCTGCACCGTGCTCTCTCTGCCGGCTTTGCTGCCGCAGCGCCGTGCGGTGCGCTGGGAGGGAGGCGCGGAGCGCTCCACAGCAGTGGTGACAATGACAGCAATGACAATAATAACAATAATGACAATAATACCAGGCCACTTGTCACGGTGATGGCAGGAAGCGTGCGTAACGCTGCTGTTGCCGGAGTGTTTTTGCAGCACAGCCTCTTGTGAGGAAATGGCATCTGATACCTTGTAGTGCTTCCTGAATCGCTTCCAGCGCCGTGCCGTCCGTCTCCACGGGCAGCTCCGTGTCCCTGGCACACGCAGGCTGCGAGGAGCAGACCCGGTGCTGCTGGGACGGGAGCGGTGCCAGCACAGCCCCAGCCCCGCGCTCGCTGTGGGACCGGGCATCAGCAGCACCCCGCGGGGTCTGGGCGGGTGGTGTGCTGGTGGCACCGGGAGGAGAGTGACAAGAAATCGAGCCGGGATTCCCGAGCTCCATGGTTACGCCTGCTTCCACAGAGAAAGCCCCTGCACGCCTCCCTTTGGACTTGAAATACCAGATTCGCTTCCTCCTGGCAACGCCGAGGACCCTTTTATCTTCAGCTCTGTCTAGACGAGGGCGCAGTGGGAGCACCCGGTAGCTGGCTTCCCTCAAACAAACCAGCCCAGGTACGGCAGCCGGCTCCTGGCACGTCAGGTGGGGGCCTCCCCTCCGGCCTGGTGGCGCTCTGGAAGGGGCAAGAGCAGCAGCTGTGCTGGCTGCTGTGCTCCTGCACCTCTTCCTCATCCCCCTGCGCTCACCTCACCCTGGGGAGCGTGATCCATGGAGCCCAACATGGGGCTTGGCAGATTTTGGCTGATTGGCTGACTTTTGGTTCGGAACCTTACGTGGGGTTTCAAAGGTAAATTCAATTTTCAGAAGTTTTACATTGAACAAGGATGATGCTTGACAAGGAACTTTGTGCAGTTGTCCTGAATTCTTCCCTGTGCCCTTGGGTGCTGTGAACTGATCAGCTTGCCTTCCTTGCAAAGCGGATCTTGGACATTGTAGGTGCCGAGAGCACCCACGGGACGGGCTGGTGGCCAGCAGGGCCACGAGGCTGCATCTGCGGTGTCACTTCAGTACGGTGGTAACTAGGTACCACTCCTGCAGCTGAGCTACATGTAGGTTCCTCTAGGTCACTGAATCCTGTCCTGGTGTTTTTTGGTGGGTGAATGTCGGGTGTTCAGGCATCGGACCAGGATCTGCAGGGACGTTAACTGTATTTTCATGGTTTAGTGTTTAATGTTATAAACTGGTGCAACACAAACAAATCACCAAGCTTTCCGCTGATGGACAGTGAGAGGTATAAATAAGGCCAGCCCATGAAGAGGATTAAGGTCCTTTCTTTTAGATTATGTTTTGTCCTCCCCCCATAGATCTTGTTTTGCTTGATTGGAACTTGGGGTGGGGAAGGCTTTGCTCTCCTTTAACCTCTGAGTCCCTGCAGACTCCTTTCCCCCTTGGGACTGGCTCGCGGCAGCACCTGAGCTCCTGTTGTTTGAGCACCGAGCAGGGTGCTGAGCTGCGGCTCTGTGTGGCAGAGGTGGGCAGTCAGTGTGCACGGCTTGCTTGTCTCAGGCTGTGTCTGCATGGTTTATCTGGAGGGTGCTGGTCCCTGTGCCCGTGAGAGTGGAAAATCTGCTGCCAGAAGGCTCGCACATCTGTAATGCGAGCAGATTATTTCTGTTTTCTGTTATTTTGCTGCCTGGAGGCAGGTGGGCAGATTAGAGGACAGACAATGTGTGTCTATCGGTCCTTTCCCATCTTTCCCATTGCCCCTCCCTTCTGGTGACCCCATTTTTACAGGGATAAGGCCAGCAGCCCGGCCTCGTTTCTGCGATCTGTTGCCGAGTCAGACTGGAGAAGCAGCGGAGGTTTGGCACCGCGGGCGTGCAGCGTGCCCGGAGCTGCGGGGCTCAGGTCTGCGGCTGCTCCCTCGCCCTGCTGCTGCCCCTCTCTGCGGCCCCGTCCCTCTGAGGCTCTGCCTTGCTCAGCCGGGCTGTGCCTGTGGCAGCGCTGCCTGACACCATGGCAGTAGGTTGCTGCTTGGCTGGGAACACACCAGGACCAGCCCACCATGTGCCGTGTGGCATTACTCAGAGAGCATTTGTGCCAGGCATCAGTGCCTGGTTCCCATCCTGCAGGGCTGTGCAGAGCTGGCTGCCCCAGCGCCGTGGGAGGGGTGGAAGTGAGATCAGGGAGCTGGGGCAGAGACACCAAACAGCTCCTGGTGTTGGTCGCTTCTGGGGAAAGATGCGGCAGGCGCCGTCCTGAGGAGGGTGGCACGTGTGGCCCAGCTGGGGGCTCGGTGCAGGTGTCCCCAGAGCTGCAGGGCAAGGGAAGCCTGTGGAGGTGCAGGTCTGTGTTGCTGGTGAACTTCAAGACCCTCACATTTGTGTCCAGAAGAAAAACAGGTTGGATCAAATCCCTTGGGTGTGCTGGTGTCCTCCTGAGATGGCTTTTCCAGAAATTCAAGTGTAAATTACACGCATTCCCCAGGCTCTTCAAGCATACCCAGAGCAGTACGAGTTGCCTTTACCACGTGCCTCTCTGTGTCTCCGCAGAACATCGTGTCCAAGAACGCCATGCAGTACCGTGGGAATGCCCAGCACGATGCGCAGGAGTTCCTGCTCTGGCTGCTCGACAGAGTCCACGAAGATCTGAACAACGCGGTGAAGTACGGTGGCGTGCCGCCCCTCAAGGTGAGGAGTCTGCTGTGCGCCAGCCTGGGGCAGCAGCTATTGCTTTGCATACAATCTTTCTTTTTAAAATAAATCTGCCTATTGGCTCCTTAACTCCGGTATGCAAACGGAACAAAAGCTTGGGTTAGAATCGTTTGTTTCTGGCCTGTGAACGTAACCAGATGTTTCGTGAGGCCCTGGCACGGGCTCCCTGCTGCAGCCCTTTGTGAAGGCTGGGAAGCCTGGCAGGGGAGCTGCCAGGAGCCTCATCTGGGGCGAGATCCCTGCCCGTCCTCGGCTGTGCCGCGTTCCTGCGTAACCACCTGCATGCTGGGGAGCACTCGTTGCTTAAAAACTGTGTGGTGCTGTCCTGCTGTTCCTGGTCAAGGAGCACACAAATTCGGCTAGGAGTACTGGAGCCGTCTGGTGCCCACCTACACGCTTTGCTATGCTTCTGGGCTTTATTCTTTTCTTTTAGCCACCGCTGGAGGATGATGTGCTGCTTGAGGGACCAGCCTTTCCCATCAGTAGTACTTTCGTGCAGGAACTCTTTCAAGCCCAGTACAGGTATGATGTGTTGTACCTTTTGAGGCGTTACTGCATGTACTGGTGACCCCAGTGTACTCTGCCCTGACCCTAGCTCACGGTACAGTTGAGGCTGGTGTCATGTTAACTGCTACTTCTGAATTGTTCTGAATAATTTTTAAACTAAGATCTCTCACCAGAGGAGAGAGAGAGAGTTTGACTGCCTCAGATTCGGTATATTGTTTGAAAATCTACAGAATGTGCCACCTCTTCAACTGCCCTGACCCTTCCTGAAAGCGAGCCAATGCTTAAGGGAGCAAAGGCCCAGGGCAGCTCGGTGCTGCGGGGCTTGCCCTGCCTGCTCGGGGGCAGGAGCCTGTAGCAAGACCTGGAGGTGCCTGGAGGCAGCTGGGGAGCTGCAGGTCCCAGGCTTCTTGCAGAATTCTCGTTATCTGGTGCTTGGGAACCCTGAGTCGAATCCTTCCTCGTCCCTTCAGGGTATTTCCTGTGAGTTTCTCAGACTTCTGGGAAGTGAGCTTTCTAACTTCAGAGCTACTGCAGGAAAACAACCTCATTTTGAGTTCCTCGATAGCTTGTATCTGTGCTGCTATGGGCACTTCAATTACTGGGCGTTCCCCCCAGTGTTTGCCAGGTTTTCCTTTGCAAAGGAGACACCTTAAGCCCTGGTGCAAAGCCAGCATAAGGTGAAGGTGAATCTGAATGAGAGACGTGGTGTTTGGGGTTTTTCCCTCCTGAATAAGGGATCTGTGTTCCTGCAGTGCTCACTGTCCCCGTCTCTTCCCCTCTCTTCAAAGAGAAAACCCTTTCAGGTCTTTCACATCGGAGCTGCAATTGGTGGATTATTAATCTTGCAGTGATGCTTATTAAAAGCCAAATTCAGCGTCTCAAGCAAAGTCTTTTCCTGGCATGCCGTGTAATGAACTTGAGACTAATTACTCTGAAAGGATTCAGACATCCAGAGCCCCTCGCTCACCACGGCTGTGCCTGCTGCACCTCTGTGCAGAGCCACTTCGTAGGGAGGAAGAAGAGTGCGAGGGCAGCCGAGCTGACACGCAGAGGCAGTAATTTGTGATGTGATCATTTATCCATTCCTGATGAGATGATGTGTAACTGTCCTCTTATTGCTGTTGTAACAGGTCCTCTCTGACGTGCCCTCATTGCCAGAAGCAGAGCAACACCTTTGACCCTTTTCTCTGCATCTCTCTGCCAATTCCCTTGCCTCACACACGGTATGTGGTTATCTGTTGGTTGTTTTCAGTGTAGTCAGAGTTGTGCAATTTGGTAGAGAAGCAAAAGAGATGATGGCAAAATCTCTGTTTTAAAAGTCTCTTAAAAAAGTACAAGGACCTATATGGTATTTAAATCTTCAATTTGCAGGTAAATTGGATAATTGAGCCTTTTACTTGTTTCAGAACGTTTCAGAGAAAGAAACCTTTTACTTGTTTCTTCACCCCTACCCTTCCAAAAACTTCCAAGAGAATTACTTTGTGGAGAGAAGTTATCTTTGATTCAGGGAACCAAAATATTTTGCTTTATTTATAGCATGTTGAAATTAAAAATGGGAGAAGGATGAAACTTTTTTTTATTTTTTCATGGGAAAAGTCTCTCACTTTAATTTTAAAAAGCGAAGTTAAAAGCTCTCCTGCAAAATGTTTTGCTTTTGAAATACAGCTGTTGCCAATAAAGAAAAAGGGAAAAAATGTCTAGGTAAAAAGTTCAGAGCAAACATCACGAGATGCTTATTTATGTAGTGGGTAGCAGGGCTGTGCAGCTCCTTCACCTGATGCTGTGTGTGCAGAAACTTTGTGTGGGTTCAAGAAGCAAAGGAACGAAGTAATGACAGTACTCAATGTGAAGGTGTCAGGTTTGGTTTGAAGCTCCTGCTGCACCGCTAAGTGGAGGCTGAGGGGGCTTTCCAGGGAGAGCTGCCCCGCTGTGCTCCTCTGAAGGCATTGCTGTTACTGCTGGGGGAGGCAGGACCTCATTTAGAGAGACAGCCCGGAGATCTGTCCTGGTGGTCACAGCAGCTCTCTTTGAATATTCCAAGCTACTGCTTTGGGCTGACGCACATCACAGCGCGCTGGCTGGGAAATCAGATTGTCTTGCAGTGGAGAGTTTTATTTTTAACTCTGGGATTTTTTTCCAAGAACACTTTTTGCTTGTAGGAACAAGCAACAGCAGCCCATGTAGTAAGAAAAGTCTTCAGAAATCCCACACGTGTGTCTGGCTGAGTTGAGCACAGCTCTGGGTCGTCATCAGGGCCCCGTAGCTCGCAGCAGCCTGGGTGCCTGGGTTGGGGTGGGTGCCCCTGCAGAGGGGGGAGCTCTCCCCAGGCAGTGCCTCTGCTCCCCGCAGGCCGCTCTACATCACCGTGGTGTACCAGGGCAAGTGCTCCCACTGCATGCGCATCGGCGTGGCTGTGCCCATCGCCGGGACCGTGGCCAGGCTGCGCGAGGCGGTGTCGTCGGAGACCAAGATCCCCACGGAGCAGGTAAGGGCTCGCCTTGCCGGGACCCCTCGTGCAGAAGGAGGGCAGTGCTGAGGCTTCCAGCCCGTGGGAGCGGTGCTGGCTGGGTAGGAGCTGCAGTTGGCTGTCCCTGTCTGGATGGGGGAGCGGGGTGGTGGTGACCTGAGTCATGCTTTTCCTTGTGCCTTGACCCCCTGACCGCTCGCGGTGCGAGGGCAGCCGCCTGTGCTGTCTGTGCTGTCCTGCCCCGTGCCCTGCGATTCCCACGCGTGGGCAGCGAGAGAACTGTGGGGCAGCTATGGAACAGGCACAGCAATTCCTCTGCAGGAGGAGTTCCAAGGAAGCTGTCAGATCCACCAGCACCCCCTCTCGTGCTGCTGTCACCCCAGCTCTAGGGTCACGGCCGCCCTTCTCCCGGCTCCTCGTGCTGGCTGGCAGCAGGGTGCTTTGAGGGATGCCACCCGTGGCGGGTAGCCCCAGTCGAGGCACGGGGCAGCTCAGCAGGGCCAGGACCGGTGGCATCAGGGGCTCTGCTTTGCTTCTGCTGGCTCTAGATCGTGCTGACGGAGATGTACTACGACGGGTTTCATCGCTCCTTCTGCGACACTGATGATCTGGACACGATTCACGAAAGTGACTGCATTTTTGCCTTTGAGACCCCGGAGATATTTAGGCCCGAGGGTATCCTTAGTCAGAGAGGTAAGTGGATAACTGCGTGGTGCCCACCCGGGTGATTAGATGAGGAGGGCTTGGTTTTGTAAGCAGATGTACTTGATAATGAAAGCGCCACAAGTAGACGATGCCCTGGTGTATTGATTTCAGCTCTGACTTTGTCCAGACTCATTCCAGCAGACTCAATTCCCTCGCTCCCTCAGCTGGGAGGCTGTCAAGAAGTGATGTACGTGGCTTTCTTCCTCTTCCTGGCACTCATTCTTCAGTCCAGGCTGGCTTCTTCTGAGATCTGTTGTTAGGCTTGCTTTAAAGGCCTGATAGGGGCCAGACCAAGCCACTGAAACTGTGTTATTTAAAATCAGATTGCCAGTGATGAACAAACAGTCTGAGGAATGAGAAAACATTTTCTCTGTTAAAGCTCAAGAAATTCAGCTTTTCTGTGCCTCCCTCTCAGAGGAAGGGAGTAATTGCATCCTGGGTAGACAGAGGGTAATCAGAGGCAAATTTCATTGTTGGAAGTAACAAGGAGGGTGTCTGCCACTTCAGCTTCTCATGCAGTCAGACAAGATATGAGTATTTGCACAAATTACTGTGAAAAATCAGTTAGTTGAGCATTGCATAACACTTATTTCTGTAAAGAAGTAGGCACCATGGAAAGTAATTGCTCACTGAAGTCTTTGTGCGAGGCTAATAAAAATGGTCAGTCTCACTTCCACGCTGGCCTGCTCCTCGAGGCCCAAGGAAGGCTTCCCGAGGGGGATTTATATTGTAAATAATGGAACAAAGTATCCCGTTCTCCTAATTTTTCAGGATTACATGTGAACAATAACCTGAATAACTTGAAATATGGCACTGAGCACTCCCGAACAATATCCTACTCTCAAGGAACAGTGAAGTCTGGAAAACTGGAACAGCCTCCTACTAGACAAACAGCAAACGACAAGATTGTCTTGCTGGTGTGTAACAGAGCGTGCACTGGACAGCAGAGCAAAAGGTGACTGGCAGCTTCCCGGCTAGGCTTACGGCTCTGGCTGCTTCCTTGGTGGCCTGGGCTTTACTCACTGTGTGGGGCAAATGCAAGGTGTGGGAGGGACGGCTTGCGTGCACGCTCTTCTGATCTCTTCCTCAAATGCTGCTCCTTTCTCTAGGTTTGGCTTGCCCTTTGTGTTGCACCTGGAAAAAACAATTGCTTGGGATATTCTGCAGAAGGAAATTCTGGAGAAGATGCAGTATTTCCTGCGGCCTGCAGCCTGCTTGCAGGTGAGCCAAACGATGTGGCTGCTTTGAGACTAAGTGGGAAGGGAGGTTACTGGGAGCAGTGGATGTGCTGCGCTGGTGCCTTCCCATATTTCTTAGTGCAGTAGTGTCCAAGTCTGATGTGCTTTTGTCTGCTGTTTGCTGAACGTTGCAGGTAAGAGTAGACTGACCAGGTGAAGGAATGACATGCTTCTCTTCCTTCCTTACCCCCGAAAGCTACTCGAGAAGTCAGTGCTGCTGTGTGGAAGTGGTGCTTGCCTTAAGGGAGGCTGAAGTTTGCCTGGTGACTGCTGAGCGTGTGTCTGATGGGAGTTCCCTCTGAGCAGCACCTTGTCTGGTCGCTGCAGAGGAGGTTTTGTCTTTTGTAAAACACATTCTAGGATAAACTATTTGCCTGTGCTGTGAGGTGATGTGTGTTTGAGTCATTCAGATGGCTTCTGTTGTCTTTCTGCAGGTTTGCCCGTTCAGCTTGCGAGTGGTCAGTGTTGTGGGCATAACGTACCTGCTACCTCAGGAGGAGCGGCCCCTCTGCCACCCAACAGTGGAAAGGTAGGCGGCGGGGACCGGCCACCTGGGGCTGGGGATGTGGCCGCAGGGAGAGGGGCAGTCCTGGCACAGCTGCATGTGGTGGGCTTCCTGGGCCTGGGAGCTGGGAATGACTGAGAGTCCTCAAGAAGCTGTCAGGATTCCTCCGTGGTGTGTCGTGCTGTCTGGAACCTACTTTTTTTTTAACTGTCCAAACTTGATCTGGGTGGCAGTGGGGGAAGGTGAAGGGCTAAAGAAAATAAGTTCCATGCATATGAAAGACAACATAGGCCTCAGATTCCAAGATGGACTAATTTCTGTCTGCTCCTTTCTCCAGGGCATTGAAGTCGTGTGGACAGGGGGGAACTGCTCACGTGAAGTTAGTCGTAGAATGGGACAAAGAAACTAAAGATTAGTAAGTATGGAGCAGGAAGCCTTAAAGTGAATTCCCGTTGACAGCCTTGCTTGCAGCCAGCTTGGCACTGTGCTGCCTGTGCGACCCAGTGGGGGCCGTGCACGCTGAACGTGCTCTGACCCGGAGCCCTTTGCCCTGCAGCTGGCATTCTGCGTTACAGAGCAGGTGTCTCACCTGTAGCTGCTTCCCTCACCAACTATATTCATGTGAGACATCCTGTGGGCAGTGAGCTGCTGCCGAGATGCTGCTGAAGCTGCTCACGTCTGTGCTCTGTTGTGTTGCTCTGGTGGGGTCCTGCCAGGCAGCTCTCGCTCGTGGATAATGAGACAAATGCAGGAAGGAGCTGCTGGTTCTGCTGCTATCCTTGTGTTGGCTCAGCAGCAGCGTGGGGAGCAGGTGGCTGTGCTGGTAAATGTGTTGTGTCTCTGGTGCAGCTTGTTCGTGAACACGGAGGATGAGTATATTCCAGACTCTGAAAGCGTCCGCCAGCAGAGAGAGCTTCATCACCAACCTCAGACCTGCACTTTATCTCAGTGTTTCCAACTGTACACCAAAGAGGAACAGGTAGGGGCATGCCTGTATAGCAGCCATGACTCAAGGCCTGGTAGGTCTGTGTGCTGCTTGAATCCCATGCTCAGCTGCGTTCTGCAGACACTGATGTGTCGAGGCAGGAGAATAAATTTGTTAACACAGCACTAGCCACCAGTCCTGCTAGCAGAGCTTTTCTGTGGTAGGAAGAAAGCTGTGGGCAGTACTGCTCCCCCTCCAGTCCCCGATGTTCAGACTGCAGATCACAGGAGCAAGTTCCTGTGCTTCCCCCTGTGAAACAGCAATGCTTTTTCTGGCGTTCAGGATGAAGGATCAGATCCGTGTGGCACTCTGTGGGAATGTGCTGCTGTCATGGAGCAGTCGGGTGCTCCCAGGCCTGAGCTGGGCAGCTCCCAAGCTGAGTGGGGACCTGCTGGGCAGTCACACAGGGACAAGGGGCTCCAGAAGTGTGGCTGCACTTCTCCAGCTCGGTTCTCGGTGCGAGGAGGTGGAAGAGGCAGGAGCGATGATGTGCCACAGCGCAGGCTAGAGCTGGGTCTGGTCTGGCCCTCACCTGGAACATCACACGAGTGATCTGTGCCTCTGTGCCAGTGGTCTCTAATCCCCTGTAAAAAGGGATGGTCCCAGATGTGGACTGTGGACCTGCGATTGAGCTTTAATAATTTTGGAGCCTCTCTTGTCGCTTCTTTCAGAAGTGAGAGAAAAGTCGTCTGACAGCTTACAGCTCTGACTTCTCAGTTTCCTGAGCATGGGGCTCTGGATGGAAGTACTTGTCGTGCTTGTGGCTTTTAAAAGATACCATCTCCTTGGTGGAGAGTGAAAAGCTCCGTCTGTAACTTTGTGCTACTGGGACATGGGGAGACATGGAGAGGGTTCTGACAGGTGTCAGAGAAGAAACTTGGAGTATATCTGTAATCCTTCTGTTCAGGGTCCTTCTTTGCTGCTGGTGTTCCTGTAAGGATACTGCTACTCAGGCTGCCAAGCCTGCTGGCTTTTTCCTTTTTTTTCTTAATTTCAAAGGGACGGGGGGGTTGAAGGATGGAAATAGTTTCTCTGCATAGCAGCACCAGCTGAATTCTGTCTTGCACTGGGAGGTGCCTGTGCTGCGAGGCACCCCTCTCTTGCCTCGTTTGCTGTTTTGAAAGGTATCAGTGGGAGCCCTGTGTTTCTAATGAGCTTGATGAATGCTGGAGGTAGCTGAGGTGCGTGTGTCAGTGCCAGCACTGCGCCTTGGGCAGCGGGGCAGTGGTGAAGAGCTGCCTTGGAACCAGGAAACTAATACCTGCTCCTGCCTCTTGTAGCTTGCCCCAGATGATGCATGGCGATGCCCACACTGCAAGCAGCTGCAGCAGGGCAGCATCACACTGAGCCTCTGGACCTTACCTGATGTTCTCATCATACATCTCAAAAGGTTTAGGCAGGTAAGAGTGCCTGCGGGGGTGCTGGATGGGGAGCGACCTGATGAGAGCATCTCAGCAGCAGCTGCTCTGTCTGACACATCTCCTCAGGGTTTTGTTAGTTCTGCCAAGTGCGGTGGCCTCCTTGCTGCTGCAGCTCAAGCTGTCCTCCACTTACACAGGAAGGAGACCGAAGGATGAAACTCCAAAACATGGTGAAATTCCCCCTGAGTGGCTTGGACATGACTCCTCACGTTGTAAAGCGCAGTCAGAGCAGCTGGAGCCTGCCGTCTCACTGGTCACCCTGGAGGAGACCTTACGGCCTTGGAAGGGATCCTGAGGACTACATCTACGACCTGTACGCAGTCTGCAATCATCATGGCACCATGCAAGGGGGACACTATACAGGCAAGTGCTCTGCAATGTTATGTCCTTTAGATCCTTTCAGAAAGAGAACAGTTCTGTTCTCTATCCTGTCCGTATTTTTTTCCTCTCTTATGACAAAAGGACCTAACCCAGTTCAGAAGGGCTGGCTATGTGATATTGGATGGGGAACTTTTATGACCCTGAGAAATGAAACAATGCCTGTTGGCCCCCAAATGTCCTACTGTGTGTTCCTTTCTCCTTTTTTTTTTTTTAACCTTGTGTGTAATGTCACCAGACTTCTGTGTCTCAAAAATGCTCTTTCCCACCACTGTAGTTGCCAGAGTCTTTTATATATGAGAAATATTTGCACATTGCCTGTGCGTACAGTGCAGGTTTTGAATTCCTCTTTGCATGTTTTGGCAGCTCCCAGAGCAGCCAGAGGTAGGCTAAGTTGTTTGGTGGTTCTTAGTATCTGTTCATTTTTACTCAGCCCAAAAAACGTGCATCTGGCTTTGTCCTCTGCTGCACACCTCTGGGCTTCATCCTCCTGTAGCCTCCCTTCTGGGACTCCATCAGGAGGAGAGTCACTGGTGGGGCAGACCCTCCACGAATAACAACGTGGAGTGAATGGGGCCACCCCAAATAGTGTTCTGTTCTGAGCAGCAATGCTGAACAAAGACAATCCTGAGCTGTGAGCTGTTCATTTTATTCTGGTTGTCTCAGGCTTCCTTCTCGCTAGTCAGACTGGAAGAGGATGTGTTGCATGAATAAATCTGTTCCTTTCATTCTCCTCTGAGTTTATCGTAGCAGATAAAGTCATGTTCAAGTCATCATATGGGAATCCTGATAGTAGGAGTGAGGAAAGTCTAATGGTAATGTTTCTCTCAGCATATTGCAAAAACTCGGTTGATGGCCAGTGGTACTGCTTTGATGACAGCGATGTTCAGCAGCTTTCTGAAAATGAAGTCTGCAAGCAGACAGCATATATTCTTTTCTACCAGAGACGCACAGCAATCCCATCGTGGTCTGCTAACAGCTCTGTGGCAGGTAAGCCCTGTTACCTTTGTCAGGGAGTGGATGTAGTTCTTGTCCTGCATGGAACTGAGGAATTTTCTGCCCGCCTCTGCTTACACCCCAGCTCTCTGTCCCAGAACTCACAGTGAGCTTGTGTCAGAGTCCTCTGCTACACCAAGGAGATTGTGGGAAACTTCCCACCTGTTCTGCTGCCCAGCCTTATGTACCCCATGCTAGTTATGGCAAAGAGGCTGTGGAGATGGGGGAGCCCCCTCCAGTGCCACATGTTCAGAGCTGCCCTTGCCGAGCCAGGACGTAGCCGTGTGGCTGGTTCATTCCCCCTGCAAGTGCAGTTGGTCTCAGGTAAGCGGCCAGCAGCTGGACATGTTGGTTGTGGATCTGGGCTGAGCTGTGGGCAGGTACAGGCTTGATGACTTGTCTTTGTAAATAAAAGGGTTTGCAGGGTGCATTTGTGGCAGCTCGAGGACTGTCCTCCACCTCTGTGCTGTTGCACTGAGGCACAGATTCTTTTGATTCATACTGGGACAAGTGTGATGGTCTCCGTTGCTTCTGACACTAACTGCATATGAGTGGAGGTTTATTTCTGCATGGTCTGGATGCTGTGGCTATGTGAGACAGCCCCAGACTCAGTGTCTGTTGAAGTTGCTGCAGTACTGCCCTGGCTCTGTGGCCTTCCCAGAGGTTTCACGTGTTGTGCAGCTCTGTGCTGTTGGTCTGATGTCTCTGCCTGATGCCTTGCAGGCTCCACGAGCTCCTCGCTCTGCGAGCACTGGGTCAGCCGCCTTCCTGGTAGCAAGCAGCCCAGCATCGCTTCAGCAGCATCGTCACGGCGCACGTCTCTGGCTTCGCTCTCTGAATCAGTGGAGCTGACCGGGGAGAGGAGTGAAGATGATGGTGTGTATTAACGATGCAGCGCCTGGGGGAACTGGGTCAAAAATATTTTCTCAGGCACTAACTTGTCAGCTACAAGATCCCTACCAGGACAGCTGCAGGTGAAGTGGTTAGGATGGACGGTTTCTCTAGCAGCTGGGGGAGGCAGGCACGGTGTCAGCAGGAGCACAGGTGGGCTTTTCTCTGGTGTGAAATGATGGGCAGGAACCTTAAGGAGCCTTTCAAAGAAAGAAAATATTGTCAACTAAACCTCTCAATCAAGTATTTAGTGTTTTTATTTTCTCTGGGTTTCGCTGCAGCACCTTTGCAGGGAGGCTGACACACTCCTGCTGCTTGGTACAGGCACTAATTGTCCGCTGCCCTGCTGTCTCTTCCCATGTGACTCCCACCATGGGGTTGACAAGACAGGCAAACTTTTTGTTGAATTCCTTGTTCAGCTGTTATGCAAGGAATGGTGCCTGTGGTGCAGGTGAACTGTCTGACTTGTAGGGGAAGGGCATCTGTGGATGGGTGGGATAAACTGTGGGCTTGGCTCTCATACTGATGATGTTGCTTCCTCTCTAGGAGGATTTTCAACTCGGCCCTTTGTGAGAAGTGTCCAGCGTCAGAGCTTGTCGTCTCGATCCTCTGTCACCAGCCCACTGGCAGTGAGTGAGAACGGCGTCAGGCCCTCGTGGTCGCTCTCTGCAAAGCTGCAGTTTCGCTCCAACTCCCCGTCACGCTTCTCTGGAGATTCCCCAGTACACACCTCTGCTTCCACCCTGGAGAAGATCGGGGAGGCTGCTGATGATAAAGTCTCCACCTCTTGCTTTGGCAGCTTGAGGAACCTTTCTAGCAGCTACTTGGAACCCTGCGATGGCAGCCGCCGAGAGCACAGGACGGCTCGCAGAGCCCCCCTGGCTGTCATGGAAGGGGCGTTCAGGGAAGAGTCTGTTGTAAGGACATCTAGCTCAGACCTTTCGGATGGGCTTGGCAAAAGCTCTGTGCAGCCAGACAAGAATCACCCTGCTTTGGACCCTTTTGATAACAACAATCAAATTGCCTTTGTTGATCAGAGTGATTCTGTGGATAGCTCTCCGGTCAAGGAGGTGAAAGCCCCCAGTGGGACGGGACTGGCTCCAGAGAAGGCAGAGGGAACCCCTAAGAAGGCTCACAGCTCCAAGGGAGCTTCCGAAACAGACAAAAGCTTGAGGAAGGGAAGGACAGTCTTATCTACCCACGAGACCAAAGTCTCTCGCTCTTCTCCTCCTCCCCAAAAGGGTTCCCAGAAGGTTTCCCGGTCTAGGAGTAAGACTGACTCCTCCAGGGCCAGTGGGCGACATGGGTCTCCTGCTCCCACTCAGGCTAGGAAGGACCACAGCACCAAGCCCGTTGAGGTGGCTGTCCCAGCAGCTCAGCAGAAGCAAAAGTCAGGTTCTTCTCCCTCTTCCACAGCTGCCAAGAAAGCCACATCAGGCTCATTGACTAAGGGCTCTTCTGCTGGGAAGAGCCGGACTTCAGACCGAAGCCTCAGCAGGGAGGGCTCTAAGATAAGCCTGGGCTCGGACAAAACGAGCGTTACCAGCAGCTCAAGAACGAGCTCCCCGCGGATAAGCCACTCCAGGAGTGACAGCAGGGCAGTGGACAGCAAGCACGTGAGGAGCTCCTCCATGGCCAACCTGCGGTCTCCCAATGTCGGTATGCGCTCTGGGCTGAAGAGGGACAGCAAGTCAGAGGAGAAGGGGTTGTCCTTCTTCAAGTCGGCCTTACGGCAGAAGGAGACCCGGAGGTCAGCAGACCTGGGAAAGACCACAATGCTCTCCAAAAAGGCAGCGGGTGGCAGTTCCAAGTCAGTCAGCAAAAACGTGCTGGAGGACAAGTCTGAGAAAGGTGGTGTCCCACCAGCCTCTCAAACCAATGCCAATGTTACTGCAAAAGAAAAGCTCGTCCCAAAAGATGCCGCACCCAACAAACACTCGCTGCTCTCCAGTCGCAAGTCCAAGTCTTCCCAGCTAGATCCCGGAGCCCAGTCTCCTCCTTCCAGTGGCAAGCAGTCCGCTGACAAGCCGCTGAAGAAGTTACCTTCCAGCATGCAGGTGTCCGTACGGCCTTCTCTGGAACCTCAGTGAAATGCTGCAATCCAGGTGTCTTTTCTGCTGAGAAGCTAATTTATTCTGAGCTCTTGTTTTTTGTTCATGTGCCTAATGTATGTTTTGAGGAGAAGTTAACTGCGAGTTGTTAAAGCGCCTTTTGATTCTGCCATCAAACCAAATAGCCACAGGCAGGCAGCACCGATGCAAGTAGTCTATCTGGAGTCGTTGTTGAACCCGAACGCAGCTGTCCCATAGCACTTGTGCAGGAGTCTCTTCGTAGAAAATGCAACAACTTCCTTCAGACTCAAGGTCTGAAATGGGAAACCCAGTTGTACTGACACTGGTGTGCTTCGTAGAGCTGTGAGCTGGTGTTCCTTTGGTCTCGTTCTGAGCAGGCTGTGTCTGCACTGGCCTTGTTCTGCGCTGTGGAGGATGCAAAGGAAGCTGGACAGGAGAGCCTCCCGCTGCTTACGCGCTCTCTCGACCCGCTCTCCCTACTCCCTTCCATTTTCTAGCTTTCTTAAGGGCAATATCTCAACACTAATGTTGTTTCTCAGGTATATACTCAGCCAGTATAGGAGGGACTAGCATTAGTGGATGGACAGAAAGGTACCCGTGTGTCTGTGCGTACGCGTGTCTTTGTAATAGATCTCACATTTGCATTCCGACAGCGGAAAGATTTTTCCATAAAATGTTATCTGTGTTTTTTGTTGCTCTGTCTGTGAAGAGTTTTACTGTCCACACCTGAGGCGACCTCTAGCCTGTTCTCTTTAATTGCTTTCTCTCTTCTGAAGCACTATACTCAGCAACAGGAGTCACTGAGCAGCAGCTGGCTCCAGCCCGTTCCTGTGAGAGCGGCTTGTTGGTGCGGTGCCCCGGGAGGTGGCTGTCCCCGTGTGCCCGGCGGGCAGTGCTGCTGGGACCCCCGCCCAAACCCCTGAGCAGCGGCGTTTCCTGATGTGCTCAGACACTTCCCTGGCGTGGTGCGGAGTGAGCACCCGTTACGTCCAGCTGTGGTACTTGGCCAAGGCAAGTGTTGTCCTGTCTTCTCTGCCTTTTCTGAGCGAGGGTCGGAGGGGCCGTTCCCTGGAGCCGTGCCGGGGTTGCTGCCCTGCTCCTCCCTGGCACGCTCCTCGCGTTCCCCATGGTCTGCCCCCTGCGTGTCTCTTACGGCCGCGGTCCCGTCCCCCTCTGGGTGTTGGTCTGTCAGGGCTGAAGCACTACATCTAGCGACATCCTTGTTTACATGCCCTTCTCCAAGGGGAGATTCCTCAAGCTCTTTAGGATTCCTCTCTGAAGGTGGATTCCTCAAGCCCTTTTGTATACTCATGGTGTCATTTTTTTTAATTTCATGAGGTTTTATTACTGCTCTGCATATCCTTTCTGTACAGCAGCAGCCTGTCGTGTGGCTCGTGGCATGCAGCAGCTGGCAGTGTGCTGTGCACGCTTGTCTCTTGGTGAGGTCTTTGCCTGCTGCCCAGTCTCGTCCAGTGAAGCTCCCGGGCTCAGCCTGCAGACCCCTGCTCGCTCGTCTCTCCCGTCACTGTGGCAGTGCCCTCAGACGAGCAGTTGCTTGCAGCTGGCCTGTCCCAGCTCCGCTCCTAGCCGCCGTTGCTGCTCCTTGGGTTTGTTCTCAGCTCACCACTTACAGCTTTGGAGAGAAGCGTGCCTCAGGGCAGCTGCCGCCTGCTGCAAAGCTGGGCTGCGGAGCTGAGCCGGGGAGCCGCAGGGCTCTGTGGCTGCAGCACAGCCCTCGACCTGTCCTGGCTGAGCCCTTAGGACCTGCCTCCTGCATCCCAGAGGCAATGCCAGTGGCCTTCATGTTTTTACGGTCTGTTGGACTCTGTGCTGTGCCCTGGACTATATTTTTAAGCCTGAACGTGACCATCTTCCTGATCCGTTTCTTCTCCCATGCGTTGTCACCTTCTCGTTTAATACAGCAACAAGGAGTGAAGGTGGTATTGCTTGCTTCTTACATGTGTAACTTGGGTTATTCTCGGGTTATTTTTTGTTATACCCAGCAGAGCAGAGGAGACTTGCTTCACATTTTGGTACTTAAATTTCTCCCTGAAATGCCAATATTGAAGTACTTGTTTAAGATTTGATCTGCATTAAGATCTTGCACCGTGTTGGCTCTTCTCTTGTAACAACTCTTCTAGCACGAATGTAATTCCGGTAGCTGTTGCTAACTTGGTTTGACATCCTTTTAATAGACAGAACCTAGTTCTCTGCGTTTCACCACGGGACGTTTGTGAAAGGCTATTTTTATCAAATGACACTTTCTTTTCATGTCATCCATCATTCACTGGAAAAGTTCCAACTGGAAGATGGTGTATGGTTTCTGAGGTGTTTTTTGCTAATGTTTTGCATGTCTGTGCTGAAGGAAACTTGAAGCCATGTCCAAGCTGGCGTTTCAGCCGAATGCCAGTTCAGAATGTTTGTATTTGGGGCAGGAGAGTGGTCATTAGAGCTGCCGTTAGGATACAATGGGAACGAGAGGTCTTGGTGCCAAGCGTTCCCGTAGCTGAGGTTAAAAGCAGTCAAAGCTCTGCATTCCCAAGATAAGTTACGTAGCCCTTCCTTCTGTGCTTTCTGTAATTTCTGATGGAAACTGCTGCCAGCTCCAGCACTGTCCGCTCTGTGTACGCTGCCAATTTGGTTTTCTACCCGGCCCTCTGGAAAACAGCAGCTCTGGTGCTCAGACGCCTCGCCCCATGGATGAGCGTGGGGTGGGCTGAGGAGCTGGCCCTGCCAGCGCCCCGTTCTTCCCATTGAGCTGGTGTCGCAGAGTGACTGAGAGCTGCTGCTCTTCTCCGGGGGGCTGCCAGCACGTGGCATCTTCTGGCTCAGGAGGGTTTGACTTCGGGTGTCCTCAAGCAAAACGCTTCGACTCGCAAGGGTGCACTGATGTTGTTGAGTGTAAGACACGTCGGGCAAAACGTGGAAGGCAGGGCTGTAGGGACCTGTAGAGTGCGGTCCCTACTCCTGTGGCTGTGTCGATTCTGTAACAAAGCAGTTTGGAAAGTAGCTGCCTGCTGCCTCTCTGCGTCCTCTGCTCTCTGGTCTCAGATTTCCAGCAGTCTGTGGATTTCTTTGCATAGGAGAGGGCTAAAGGATGCAGGCCCAGGATCAGCAGTGTCCGTGATGGGTATAAATCCAGGTCTGATCACCGCTAAAACCCTGGCTTCACCAGTGCTGTAGAGTAAATCTTTCTAAAACTGATGGTGGGCTCCTGCAGGCCTTATTTAAAGTGACTTGAGGAAAACCATCAGGATCCTCGCTTTAAGCAGACTTGTTTCTTAGCCCTTTCCTGCAGAGGAATCCCGGTCTGTGTGCACCACGCTGTCCCGATGTGGATGTGGCCCAGCTCGAGGGGTGCTCCAGGGAGGGACCTTCCCAGCACAGGCTGGGGGCTGTAGGACAGCAGGGGGCTTGTGCCTGCTCCACGGCAGCCGCTAGTGCCCGGCCACCCTTTTCCTGAAAGTTCGGGCCCTGGAAGGCTTTGTGATGTGCTTCTAGCCGAGGTCGGATGGAATTCACCTGGAATTCACCTGCTGGGGTCTGCCCGTGCCCCTCATCACGTCCCTGGTCCGAGGCTTGTGCCAGGGGCAGCCCTCAGGGCCCGGGAGAGCAGCGCCCTCATTGCAGTGCCAGGTTCCTGCTGGGGTCACCTACAGAAATTATTTTTACCCTTTTTGGGCTTTGTCTTTTGGATAGTGTTTAGTAGTGTACAACTTATAAGCACATTTTCAACGATGTGTATTCAAGAGGCACCTCTTATTTGTATTAATCACATTTGATAGAAGATCTGGTGCCTGCAGTTCTCAGTAACTCGTGTCTCACTTTGGATGTATAAATTGTAACCCTCTCCAACTTACCAGATATGGCTAAAAAAAATAAAAAATAAAAACGCTTAGGATAGAAAATTAGCAGCTTAATTACAGTACACTTACTGCAAGTGCCCTCATCCTTCTTAGCTGCAGAGTTGTTTGCTTTCCAAAGCTGAAACTTGAGCATGATCAACCATTTTTTCTACGTAATAAAGGCAGTTTTGCATGGCAGTTCTCTTGCTGTACTCAAATGCATGCACTTATTAACTATGCAAGCATCTAATACAAACCATAGACCGTGCTTTCAGTATCCAGAGCTGCTCCCTCGGTGCCGGAGCACTGCTTTGACTCTGTACTTCTGTTTCTTGGTGCAGCTATGTGTCAGCACACAGGAGCATGTACCTGGTTTCCTGCTTTATTTGCACATCTTTGATTCTTTTCTTTGCAGAATTTGGGATTACTGACAAGGCTGGAGTGTAGCATAACGTCAAAGGAATTTGAAATGTTGAAATGAGAACAAACTGGTTTTCTGTATTGTATTGTTTTCTCTCTTTTTTTCTTTTTTAAAAAAACAGGAAAAACCCGATCAGTGTTCGTATGTAGCCTGCCACTTTGTGTACCTGTACTGACACACTCTGCGCTGTGGGAAGAGGCTGTGCCCGTGGTGGTGCTCGGGGGACAGCCCCCAGCAGCCGCCCCCCGGGCCAGCCCCAGTGCCACGGCTGGGGGCTGCCCTGAGCCGTGCCCGGGGCTCCGCTGCCTGGGGAGGGTGGGGAGCGACATTCCGAGTGGTTTTGCTGTCATCTTTCTTTCTATCTTCGTCATTGCCTTCTGATCCAAAATAATTTGGCGGCATCTGATGTTATCTGTGGAGGGAACTGAAATTTAGTTTTAATCTGTGGTGAGATGAAAGTACTATGCGGTTTCCTTAATAAAAGCACCATGAAGCATTTCCTATCAGGAGCTTTATTTTGTAAAAATAAGGGTATGTGAAGACTTGTATGTTATCTATATTAGGTTTAAAGGTTTAGGAAGTCTTCTATTTTTTTTAAAGGCGATAGCACTCAATTTATCTGCAAATAGTGTTTTTTAAAAGACACAGATTAAAACTAAGTGTAAACACAAATTGTTTCGCTCTAGGCCCTGCAGCACAAACGCGCTGCAAGAAAGTTAGCGTTAGGTTTGTATGGCATTTGTGCAGTGCAATAAGAAAACATTTTTAGGTGCTACATTGCCTTGGGTAGGGTGACACAAGGGAATACAGGCTACGAGTGGCTACATTATTTTCTTGTGGCCTTCCAAGTATTAATTTGTACAGATTTGCTCACCAACTGTGCCTCACCATTGGTTAAAATTGAATTTTAAGTCCTGTTACAAATGTAGTTTCTCTTCTGGACACAATGTCAGATTTTACACTGGAATATCTACAGTTCTGAAAACTGCATGTCACATCACTGTACGCCGATACTGGGACGTGGGGCTTGCCCACACCTTTGATATTCTCTTCTGTATTTTAATGTTTTTGAACTGTACAGTAATCTGGAGAGCAGGCTGTCTTTACTTGGGGTTGAACATTGTACCATAAATTTTAAATTATTTGAGGACAAGTGCATGAGACTGTGTCAATGCCTTTTATTATTTATTTGTATGTTTTATTATTCAAGGTGTATGCACTTTTAATACGCAGAATTTATATTTTTATGTTAAAAATCATTTTCTTTCAGAAAGAAGAGTTTGAATATGAGGAATTGGGATTCAGTGGAAAAAGGGGAATATGTAATAAAATACAATAAATTTATTACTAGGCATCCCGGCTGCGTGAGCCTTCTTTCAGGTCAGCATCGCCGCCCAGCTCCCTGCAGTGACAGATGGGTGCGAGGGCCTCCTCTGCCTTCCTCCTGCCTGCACCGGGCTGCCCACACTGCAGAGCTGCTGCCAGTGGTTGCGGGGTTCCTATAGCTAGAGCCAGCCGCAGGGCCCTGTCCGGGGGGTCCTGGGGCTGTGGGGTCCCGGGGTGCCACCAGCCCCCCATGGGCAGCAGGAGGGGACGGCGGGCAGGGTGCTGTCACTGGCGTCTTTGCTGTAGGTGGGTGAAACGTGCTCCGGCTGCAGCCTCGGCTGGCGTGGGTCACCCCTGAGCTCTCCCTTGTGCCCCAGCAGGGTCCCAGCCCTGATCACAGAACCGTCACCACGAGCCGGCTGCAGCCCTGTGGCCCCTGCAGGTGTCGCGTGGAGGATCCTCGCCTTACGCTGGGCAGTCACAGGGCACGAGGAGACCTGGGCTTTTATTACTTATTGGAGAGCATAATTGCTTCGTATCTCGTATGGAAATGGGGATGACAGATGTCATATTAAATCATAGGGTCATCACTTATTTATAGGTGATTACATTAAAGAGAGATTAATATAGCCAAAGGCTCTGCAGAATTAGAGTTAATATATTTTTGTTTATTATATTTGCCAATATTTCTCCAATCCAGATGGGTTTTTATGGCCACTTATTAAATAGCGAGCCCACTGCGGTTCCCTTAATCTAGCTGGGAGGGTGGTGAGAGGACAATTGGAAAACACTTGAGAACTTTGATCTTCGAATGATTAAATTTTATTGCCTCCTTGTTTATGAGGCATCCGATGGCAGGTGCTTTGTGCACTGAGATGAAGCGAGGGCAGGTTAGGACTCGGGCGGTTATTAAATCCAGGTCAGCAGGGGAGGCTCAGTCCTGGTGCGGGGCGCGGGCCCCCAGATGTTCGGCTCCTCGGCTGGGGTTACGGCTGTGCCCGGGGGTGCCCGGGGCTTGGTGCCCATCCCACAAAGCTCTCAGCTCTGCCTGCAGCCCTCCCTGCTGTCCCTGTGCAAACCACAGGGGCCGAAAAACACTCACTGGGTGCGGAGCCCCTGATGGCCGTGCCGTGCTGGGCTGTGCCTCGGCTGTGGGGCACTGGGGCACGGCGCAGGGTGGGCAGGCGGCTGCCCCTGCTGTGGGATGGGGGCCTGGGGTTTGCCGTGTTTGTTAACACCCAGCTGCCGCTGAGGGCCAGAACAAAACCTGATCTTTGGAGGCCGTCAATAAATTATAACATATTAGGCACTGTCATCAGTACCTCTGGACTCCTAAATTTTGTTCTAATTGGAGTATCGCTTTTCCTTTCTCAGCACTTTTTCCCCTCTGCTGGGTATCGATCCTTTCTCTGTGGGGATCTGACCAACTGTTGACAATTTATGGTAACATAAACCCGGTGCCTCTTACAGCAAAAACACAGCTTTTAATAAAAACCGCTGACACCAGCCCCTCGCTGGCAGCCTAACCTGATTACCGCATGGATTTAGCAGTTAAGGCCGTGCTGATACCCCGGCTGTTTTGCACATAGGGATTTTTACTGTAACACTTAAAAGGCTTTCAATTGTCATAATATTTCATAAATACACATGTACCTAATTGAAAGCTGGGAGGCTGATAGGAAGCATCGAGAGAGCTGCTGAGACCTTGGCTGGCTCCTGGATGCTCGTGGCTTGTTATTGATGGTTAACTGGGGCACCCGTAGGGCTCGTAGAACTGCGCTGCTGACCAAATCATTCCTTCTTCTGCCAGGGAGAAGTCCATACGCAGGTTTTTGTCGTACGCAGAGATGGGACCGATAAGGTTCGGGAGCTGCAGTGCCCTCCTGCTCGCCTGTGCCCGCGGTGTGGGGCCGTGCCGTGCTCCTGGCCGGTGTCGGGCCGTGGCTCCGGGCCCTGCTGCACCTCTGGGAGCCGAGCGGTGGCCCCGTCCCGCTGCCTGTGCATGAGGCCCCTGCTGCTGGGCCCTGCAGCAGCCTTGGCATGAGGCTGGCCGGGAGCCTGGCACCAGTGACCGGGGACTCGTCCCAACTGCGCCACATCCCCACAGCCACCGGCTGCTGGCGTCCTGCCCCATGCTGGGCACAGCCACGCTGCTGGAGCCCAAGGCCGCCCACCGCGTCTCCTCACAGCGCCCCGCAGCCTGCAGGGGTCTTGGGCCTGCCGGCTCTGGGCTGGGAGCTTTGGAGAGCGGCGACGGGCGCTGCCACGGGGCAAATCCTTCCATCGTTATCGGGGTGTGTGTGCTAACTGGAGGCTGCCGCAGCCCACCCAGCCGCACTGAACCTGGCCCTGCCTCGATGTCCTGGAGACGTTTAAATGGGCCTGGAACACGTCGCTGGCTGCCGGAGCAATTTATCGCCTCACCGCACGGTCCCTTTTCCACGTTAGATTCATCCAGTGAAAAAAAAAATAAATAAGAAACCGCACGTCTAACATAATGACATGAATTTCTTAATAAACGAATGCAATGTGGATGGCTGTGTGTTTCCACTCAGCCTGAGCCAAACTGTGATGAATTGATCCTTCCTAAAGGTATTGAATATTTCTCAAACTATTCATCAGCCCCACGACAAATGCCTCTGTCAGCCCCAGCTGACATCCTATTTTAAATACCTCTTCCAGGGCACCAGCATGGAGCAGTGGCTGCTGGAGAAGCAGGGACCTTATCATTTTTTAATGCACTGCAGTTCTTGGGCTTATAGAATATTTATAACAACACTGGTATTTACCAAACAAGCCGGTGCGTTTGCAGGAACCCCTGGTGCGTGTCTCCTGTGCACATTCCCATGGGTGGCCCCGGTGGGGCAGTCCCAGCCCCAGCCCCATGGGACCCAGGTTCCTGCTGTGCCCTGCCTGGAGCCCGGTCCCACTGCCCACGGTGTGCTCATGCCTCTGTGCTGCCCGCCCGGCTCCTGGCCAGCTCTGCCCAGCACATCCCGTCCCCTCATCCCACCCACGTCCCCTCATCCCAGCCCTTCCCGTTCCTTCCCTCCCAGCCACGTCTGCGGGCTGAAAGCGCCGTCCCCGTGTAATACAGCGCTATCAGCTTGTTCTTCTGGGTGTCACAAATACCGTAACATCTGCTCTCCCTGCCATTTGCTTCAATCTAATTCTTTTTTTATTGAAATGAGTCTAAATTGTCTGAGAATATATTAGATTACTCTTTCCCTGAGGTTAGCACACTTGTATAGACGTGAATAAAGTGCACAGTTAGCAGCACTCGCATGCTCTTTCGCTCCCTTTTTTAATCTACAAGAAGCCGGCTCCCTGGAGAACTGGTGTGTTTCCTAACGACCTTAATGAGTTTCCATAGCTGAGGTCAGATTATCTAGAAAGGCTGGTAATGGCAGGGCAGGAAGGTGGTTCTGTCTCCACTGCTGTGAGTCTCTGATAGCTTTGTACTCCAGACTGTAAATAAAGCAGAATTTGATAGCTCTGCCTGGATCCACGATGAATACATTTTCCCCTTTAATAGGCAGAAGTGTGTGTGTTGCAAAGCAATTCATGAAGACCATATGACAGTCTTTAAGCATTTTAATATTTTGCAACTGATTTATCATTGGTAATGAGCAGATGATATACTCCACTTCAAGGGTATGGATTATCTATTAAAGTCCACACGTAAAAGGCATCTGCCGATGACATATTGCTAACAGAAAATGGAAAGTACAACTTATCTGTTGTTTAACGGGAGGGGTCAACAGCTTCTGCCACAGTTCAGGAGATAACCTGCATTTTCATTCTCTCCTGTAATGACGTCGGTAAATATCTCCCGTGTTTGGGCATTGTGTCGGGCCGGCACCGATCCTGCCCCTTCTCCTCGTGCTGCCTTTGGAGGCACCGGCACATCGAGCCGGAGCTTATTTAGTGCCTGGTTAAGAGCTGAGGGCGGTGCTGATTCACTGGCTGCTGCTAGATTAGTTTATGGTCTCTGATATCATCTCTCCAGGGCTGTTTGTGCTCCAAGTAGTTTGGGAGAAGTCTGCTTGCTTATTTATTTATGAAGCAATTCATACAACGGGGCTGTTTGCGCTGCGGGGGCTGCCGGAGCGGCTGGGTGCCAGTAAGCCCTGGGGGGGGGATGCCTGGCCGGGGGGTGGCGGTGGGCAGGCGCTGGGGGTCCCCAGGCTGAGGCACCCTGCTCCCGAGGGCAGCACGGGGCCCATGCTGCTGCTGCCGCCCACTGACTGTGCCCCACGAAGAGCTGGTGGGCGAGCGGTGGTTTCCACATCTCAGCAGTGCTGGCAGCACCTCGTGTCCCCCCCAACACCTCGTGTCCCCCCCCCAGCACTTCGTGTCCCCCCCCCCAGCACCTCGTGTCCCCCCCAGCACCTCGTGTCCCCCCCCCAACACCTCGTGTCCCCCCCCCAGCACCTCGTGTCCCACCCCCCAGCACCTCGTGTCCCCCCCCAGCACCTCGTGTCCCCCCTGCTCGCACCCCTTGGCAGGGCCATGGCTGAGGAGCTGGCGTTGCTGCCGCCTCTCTTTGGAAAACAGCGGGCAGGGGCTTCTGGGCTGGAAATTCACTTTTGATGCCCAGTTAAAAGCCGAGCTGAGAGCAAGCGGCTGATGCTTCCTGTTGCACATCGGCCCCACACCCAGGCTGGGCTCCCAGCAGCTTGTCACAGCCCGTGGGTGTCCCCATGGTCCTGAGAGCTGCAGCAGCCCACGGTGCCGGTGCCGCGCTGCCTGGCTCTGCTCAGACATGCTGCACCCCCCCGGCTCCACAGCACGCCTGGTGCAGGGCGCGCAGCTCTTTGCACAGCCCGGCACGGGATGTTGTGCTCTCTCCCACACTCCTGAAACTGCGACACCCCCAGCCTGGCCTCCCGTGGCAGGCACAGCGTGTCCCAAGGCTCTGGTGCTGCTCCGGGGGGGCTCTGAGCACCGGGACAGGCCAGGCGAGAGGGGCCTGGTGGGCTCGGGGTGACGGTGGCAGCGGGATGTCCCCGTGCTGCACAGCCCCAA